ATATTTATCTTCAATATTAATGAAGTTATGGTCAACTTCCGGTTAAGAATGTCAACGTCAATTTTGACATATTTGTAATCGTCGTGAAAAATCCTTTAAAATGAGTCCAAACATGATACGTTTAATTCCAATATTACTCGAGATATAAGCAACTTCCGGTTTGAAATGTCAATGTCATTTTGATAAATTCTCAATTTTTATAAAACATGTTAAAATTTGACACAGAAACAAAAATATAATTTAAAAAATGAAAAATTAAGGTTGGTATTAATATTTAAAAATCTTCATTGTTGCCAACTTCGGGTTTAATGTTTTTTATTCTAACTTTTTTGTTTTTTGAGATAAGTGCGTCGTGTTTGGACTCATTTTAAAGGATTTTTCACGACGATTACGAATATGTCAAAATTAACTTTGACATTCCTAACCGGAAGTTGATCATAACTTCGTTAATATTGAAGATAAATATGTCGTGTTTGTACTCATTTTAAAGGATTTTTAATGAAGATTAAAATAGTTTAAAATAACAATACGATTACAAATAAAAACTTGTTAAAACAACCTCGAATTACCACGTTTTCCTTCATCCTCATTTCGAAATAATCGAAATTCCAGCCTTGTCCAAGGTTAAAATGTCCTTTTTTGACCACCTTAAGGCCCCCAGTTGTAAGGACACTAATCCAAAGAGTTGTTATTACAACAACAAACTGGAGGCGACATAATAGGCAGAAGGATTTCAGATTGCCTCATTTAAAATCGTTTGCATTCAAGTTTAATCCAACCCCAAATTACCTCACACTCCATTTAAACTACAAGCAAGGTCTTAATTGATTTTTATTCATTTTCGGTGTTGAATTGTTTTGTTAAATGGAGAGGTGTTAATTTCGTTGTTGTTTGATTTATTATTCCAAGGTTGTTTTTTTTTCTTTTTTGAAAGAAAATTAAAAAAAGAAATTTGAAATGTAACGAAATAACAAAGAGAAGATTTGCTTAAGAATCTCATTCCCAAGATTTTCTTTTTCGTAACTCCTTTATTAAGCGTGTTACGAAAAAGGGGGATTAAATAATTAAGGATTTTTAATTTTTTTTTGTTTGTTGCAGGGTTCGTGGCGGCTGTATCATTAGGAATTATTTTATTAGGCGGATTAGTTGCGTTTTTCTTTATGAGTTGGGTTAACATAGTTTTACATCACGTAATTATTTACATTCTTAATTAATTTTTTTTAATTAATTGTATTGTTTTTTAGCAAATCGTTTTGAGAAAGGGTTCTCAAACTTTCGATTTATGGTCGAAACCGCCAGTTCATCCCGTTTTAAAAGTTTACGTTTACAACGTAACGAACGCCGATGAGTTCTTAAACAACGGAACTAAACCGGAAGTGAACGAAATCGGACCTTACATTTACATGTAAGTAAAATTGGATGAATCAAATCGTTAGAATTAAGCATAAATAATTAATTTGCGGTTCTTTTTCCCGGGAAAAAAATTAATTCAACGCAATAAAAATGAGTTGTGCTTAAATTTTTAATTAATCGAAATCGACTCACCCGAAATTTTTGGTCCCGATCCAATTCTCAAGCTTTCTCCCATCACTTTCTTCGTTACATCATTATTTTCTGACCTTTTCTCACTTACTTCAGACGACACTTTCACCTTGCAATATTTAAAACAGCCTAAAATAGAAATAAAATGCAAAATTTCAATAAGTTAATCTTTTAAAAAGGATCATTTCAAAGTTTAAAATCCAAGGTCGTCCCCTTTTTTTTTTTTAAACAATTTTCTTTCCACTTTAAAAAAAAACAACGTTAATGATGGTAATTTATTTATTTAACATTCAAAAAGTCCACAAAGAAAATCGTTTTAAAGTTTATTTTGCGGTTTTTCTTTGTAACTCATTTTAATACAACATTTTATTGACTACAAAGTTATTATTATTACGTGTTTCATTATCACATAGAGAATACGGTGAAAGTTTGAGAGAACATCCGTAAACGGTACTCGTTATACCTTTTTCCATTGAGAACTTCACTTCCAGTTTACACAATTATAAAATAAAAAATGTTTTGGTGTTATGTCACAAATTATTCCGCGTATTACTCAATAACAAGGAAATAAGATAATCTTTTCTACATCATTAATTTCATTCAATATTTTAGAATTAATTCTTGTTTGTTCTTTTTATTTTAGCGAAACCTGGGAGAAAAAGAACTTAAGATTCCACGATAACGGAACGATTACGTTCAATCAGGAAAAAATCTACATTTTCGACCCAATTAACTCGGCTGGAACTGAAGATGACGTCGTCGTCGTTCCAAATATTCCAATGCTTGTAAATAACCTTTAAAATTATTTTGACACTTATTTTTTTTTCTATATCTATCAAGGTTAAATTTGTATTCTTTATAAAGTTAATTTCTTTCTAATTACGTTATCCTTCATTCAATTTAAATTCTTATCGGTTTTTGACTCACTTGGTACACATTTTTACTTCATCGAATTAAAACACGATGTGTTTACCTTCATAAAAAATTATTTTGACACTTATTTTTTAGGTTATGTTATTTTTAATATCTGTCAAGGTAAAGTTGATAGGATTTCTGTTGGTATTACCTAGGGCCCTTTTTAAATTAATTTTTTTTTCTAATTTCATTAACATTTAGTAACATTTTTAATAATTTCAATCATTTCTGTTTAAATATAAATCTAAAACTTTAATTTTTCTGTTCGAAGCACAAAAAAAATCAAACGTCACTGTGACAAATTGATTTCATTGTTACCAACTGTCAGTTATGTCAACAAGAAAAAATTACAAACTGTTTTATCAACAACTTTGCTCCCACGTTTTCTTCTTGAAACTGCTGATTCTTTTCGGCGTCGTCCAAATATTCCAATGCTTGTAAATAATATGTTTGGGGTTATATTTTTTTTTATAAATCTGTCAAGGTTAAATTTGCTTTCCTTATAAAATTATTTCTCTTTCTCAATTCAATTTAGATATTTTATTGGCTTTTAACTCACTTCTCACATTTTTACTTTATCGAATTAAAACACGATGTGTTTACCTCAAAATTATTTTTGAGGTTATGTTTTTTTTTAATATCTGTCAAGGAAAAATTCGTAAAATTTCTGTTGGTATTACCTAGGGTCCTTATTACATTAATTTTTTTTTCTAATTTCATTAACATTTAGTAACATTTTTAATAATTTCAATCATTTCTGTTTAAATAAAAATCTAAAACTTTAATTTATCTGTTCGAAGAACGAAAATTCAAACGTCACTGTGACAAATCGATTTCAATCTTACCAACTGTCAATTTTTCCAAATGTCACCAACTTTACATTTGACATAACAGTTTTTATCAACAATTTTGCCCTCACCAACAGGTTTTTTCTTGAAATTGATGATTCCTCGTCAAACTGCTTTTTGGCGTCGTTCCAAATATTCCAATGCTTGTAAATAACCTTTAAAATTATTTTGACACTTATTTTTTAAGTTGTTTTTTTTTCTATATCTGTCAAGGTCAAATTTGTATTCCTTATAAAATTAATTTTCTTTCTCAATTCAATTTAGATTTCTTATTCACTCACTTTTCACATTTTTAGTTCATCGAATTAAAACACGACATGTTTACCTTCAAAATTGGTTTGACACTTATTTTTTAGGTTATGTTTTTTTTTTTATATCTGTCAAGGGAAAATTTTTTAAATTTCTGTTGGTATTACCTAGGGTCCTTATTAAATGATCTTTTTTTTAATTTCATTAACATTTTTAATAATTTCAATCATTTCTGTTTAAATAAAAATTTAAAACTTAAATTTATCTGTTTGAAGAACGAAAATTCAAACGTCACTGTGACAAATCGATTTCAATCTTACCAACTGTCAATTTTTCCAAATGTCATCAACTTTACATTTGACATAACAGTTTTTATCAACAACTTTGCTCTTACCGCAGGTTTTTTTCTTGAAATTGATGATTCCTCAGTAAAACAGCTTTTCGGAGTCGTTCCAAATATTCCAATGCTTATAAATAACGTTTAAAATTATTTTGGGGCAATATTTTTTTTTCTAAATCTGTCAAGGTTAAATTTGTATTCCTTATAAAATTAATTTTCTTTCTCAATACAATTTAGATTTCTTATTCACTCACTTTTCACATTTTTACTTCATCGAATTAAAACACGATGTGTTTACCTTCAAAATTGTTTTGACACTTATTTTTGAGGTTATGTTTTTTTTTTCTATATCTGTCAAGGGAAAATTCGTAAAATTTCTGTTGGTATTACCTAGGGTCCTTATTAAATGATTTTTTTTCTAATTTCATTAACATTTAGTAACATTTTTAATAATTTCAATCATTTCTGTTTAAATATAAATCTAAAACTTAAATTTATCTGTTTAAAGAACGAAAATTCAAACGTCACTGTGACAAATCGATTTTAATCTTACCAACTGTCAATTTTTCCAAATGTCACCAACTTTACATTTGACATAACAGTTTTTATCAACAACTTTGCTCTTACCGCAGGTTTTTTTCTTGAAATTAATGATTCCTCAGTCAAACTGCTTTTTGACGTCGTTCCAAATATTCCAATGCTTGTAAATAACCTTTAAAATTATTTTGATACTTATTTTTTAGGTTATTACATTTTTTCTATATCTGTCAAGGTTAAATTTGTATTCCTTATAAAATTAATTTTATTTCTCTATTCAATTTAGATATTTTATTGGTTTTTAATTCAATTTTCACATTTTTGCTTCATCGAATTAAAACACCTTCAAAATTATTTTTGAGGTTATGTTTTTTTTTCTATATCTGTCATTGAAAAATTCGTAAAATTTCTGTTGGTATTACTTACGTCCTTATTAAATGATTGTTTTTTTTAATTACATTAACATTTAATAACATTTTTAATAATTTCAGTTATTTCTGTTTAAATATAAATCTAAAACTTTAATTTTTCTGTTTGAAGCACGAAAAATCAAACGTCACTGTGACAAATTGATTTCAATCTTACCAACTGTCACTTATGTCAAATGTCGCCAACATTACATTTGACAGAACAGTTTTTATGTCCACAAGTAAAGATTTAAAGGTTTTTTTCTTGAAATTGATGATTCCCCAGTCAAACTTTCAGTTATTTTTATTAGTGACAATTCGAGTCAACTTAGAATAAAAAGTGTGATTTTGCTAAATTAAGCCGAGATCGATTGCGGCCGAGGTATTTCATTATGTCTTGTCTAATATTATTATTACAGAGAATATACATATAATGTTACTAGCTTAAATTACAATAAATACAATGTTGAAAAATACAGATTGGAGAGCTGATTAAACCGAGGTTGCTTGCGATTGATGTGTTACAATTGATACCACATTGATACAATATTAAAAAATACATTGTGATAAAATGGTATAAAATGTAGCGCCTCGCCCGCAAACGACCTCGGCTTAACTCGGAAAAAACGAATATTTAAAGCTGATTAAGCCGACATTTTATTCCATTTTATCACAATGTATTTTTTAATATTGTATTACTACGATTATTTTTTCTTTCCAAGTAGTTATTAGTCTTTTCCAATAGTATTTAGCATTCTGGTAGGATTAGGTATTTTTTTTGGAGAATATATCTCTTCTTACCAAGTAGTTATTAGCCTTTTCCAATAGTATTTAGCATTCTGGCAGCATTAGATAGCTTTTTGGGAAGGATATCTCTTCTTTTCAAGCAGTTATTAGTCTTTTTCAGCAGGATCTAACATTCTGAAAACAGTAGGTACCTTTTTTGGAGAGCATATCTCTTCTTTCCAAACAATTATTAGCCTTTTCCAGTAATATTTAACATTTTGGAAGCATTAGATAGCTTTTTAGGAAGCATATCTCTTCTTTCCAAGCAGTTATTAGTCTTTTTCAGCATTATCCAACATTTTGGAAACAGTAGATAACTTTTTTGGGAAACATATCTCTTCTCTCCAAGCAGTTATTAGTCTTTTTAGACCATTATTACAGTCTTTGAAAACAATAAGTAGTCTTGGAAGCAGTATTCCAAGTAGGTCAAAACGTTTAACAGCAGTGTTTAGCGTTCTAGAAACACTAGGTATTATTTTGAAAACAGTATCTAGTCTTTTCCAAGTAAGTTGTGGTCTTTTTCTGCTGTATTTAGCATTTTAGAAGCAGTAGGTAACTTTTTGAAACAGTATTTCATCTTTCCAAGCAGTTTTTAGTCTTTTGCTAGCAGTATTTAATCATCTGATAGTAATAATTAGTCTTTTGCTAACAGACTCTAGCATTCAGGAATTAATAAGTTAAAGAGGGGGCGAGTTTTACGCTTTTCCGCATCTTTTCGGCAATCTGATACTGTTCTATCTTGCGACCAATCTTCGCTAATACCTCTGTGATGTTAATGCGCACCGGATCTCGTCATTGCGCACAGAGGTAGAGTCTCTAAGACTGATGACCAGCATTGTGCTATTCATGGCTCTATGGTCTACTCAAGTATTTCCTTCAATTCCTCTGAATTGTTGCTAATCAGTAGATATTTCTCGTCGATATTGATGCCCTTCTTTTCCCAAGGTCTATGGAACTTTTTAGTATATCTTTTAATCTATGGGCTGAGATGAAGAGGTAGGTCAGCATAATTATAAATGTTCTAGGCAGGTCTATTAGCAATATTACTAGTTTTCTGCCAACAATCTTTATCGTTGTACACGCAATATCTAGTTCTCTGTCAGCAGTATCTAGGTCTTTGCTAACATTATCCTATTTGTGCCAACCGAATTTAGTTTTCTGTCAATGGGATTTAATCTCCTGCTAATAGTATTTATTTACAGCAATCCATAAACAGTTTTCTGCAAGCAGTACTCTCCCATTAGCAACATCTTTTCCAGCACCCATAATCTTCTGCAATCCCTAAACAGTCTTCTACAAGCAGTAGTTTTCCATTAGCAATATCTTCTGCAGCACCTAGTCTTCTCCAATCGATAGGTATTTCTCTACAAGCAATATCTAGCTTTTGCAATTCATAAGTACTCTTCTCCAAGCAATACATAGTCTCTCATTAGCAATATCCAGTTTTTTTTCCAGCAGTATCTAATCTTGTGCTAACAGTAGCTTCATTTTTGAACACTCACATCAATCATGACACATTGATTATAAAATTATTTTGACAGTTACCTTTTGAGGTTATGCCTCCAACAAAAAGTGACGAGAACTTTTTTTGAAACAATTTTCCTTAATTAACAACAAATTAATTTTTTAGAGTGCAACATCACAATCGAAACACGCAGCGAGATTTCTACGTCTAGCTATGGCGAGCATCATGGACATTTTAAAAGTGAAACCCTTCATAGAGGTCTCTGTTGGTCAATTGCTATGGGGTTATGATGACCCCCTCCTAAAATTAGCCAAAGACGTCGTGCCGAAAGATCAAAAACTTCCTTACGAACAATTTGGGCTTATGTATAATGTAAAAAATTATAACGAAATCAATTATTATAAGTTGTGATTAATTTGGAGTATTTTTTGTATTGTAGAAAAATGGTACTTCAAAAGATAACGTGACTTTATATACGGGTTCTGGTGATATCAAAAAATTCGGATTAATCGACAACGTAAATGGAATCAGCAACTTATCGCATTGGAAAACCGATCAATGTAACGCCCTAAATGGATCTGATGGGTCAATTTTCCCACCTCATATCACTCAAAATACCACGTTGTATTTGTATGATAAAGATCTTTGTCGATTACTTCCATTAAAGTAAAATGATATGATTGTAATGATTAAAATTGATTAAAAATGATAATTTTTAGGTTTAAAGAAGAAATCGAAGGTCCAAATAAAGTCCAAGCTTATCGCTTTTCCCCGGCTAAAAACGTTTTTGGCACACCCGAAGAAAACCCGGAAAATGATTGTTTTTGCCCCCAAGGCCCCCCTTGCTCCCCATCCGGATTCTTCAACGTTTCTCTTTGCCAATTTGATTCTCCCATTTTGTTATCATTCCCTCATTTTTATCTTGCAGATGATAGCTATAGGGCTGCGTTTAATGGCATTTCGGAACCCGATCCAGAAAAACACGCGATGCATTTAGATGTCCAGCCCGTAAGTATAAACAAAAAAGATTTTTTTACCTAATTACATTACAAAAATTAAATTTTACATGTCATTCTGACGTTGTAATGTCACTTTTTTTATAACTAGTGATGTAATGATTTCATTACGTTACTAGTGATGTAATGATTTCATTACATTATTAGTGATTAGTGATGGAACGGATAGTGATTTTGCGAAAAGCCGGATTAATAATTTGGTGATATTTCCACCAGGATCCATCAAGAAATGAATTTTATAGCGAATTTTGAAAGTTATCGAAAATTTTATCAAAACTTCAAATAATGATTTCTCAAAAACTAAAAGTTATTTTTCAAAACGGGTTGGTTCATTGGAAAGAGGACACTTTTATTAACACTTTGAGAAATTTTCATACTCATATTCCAAGAAATGGATTTTATACGAATTTTTAAAACTTAATCGGCGAAAATTGCTAAATTCGATAAAATTATCGATGATTTCAAAAATTTATTTCTCAAAAACTAAAAGCGATTTTTCAAAACGGCTTGTTACATTAAAAAGAGGATATTTTAATTAATTAAAAATGAAAATTAAATTTTACATGTTATTCTAATGTTATGTAACGTTACTTTTTTTATAACTAGTGATGTAATGATTTCATTACGTTATTATATACAAATTGATAAATTGACATCTGACACTAATAAATGAAGTCAAGTTTTGAACAAAAATTGTTTTTTCAATTAAATTAGATAAAATTTTGTACTTAACACGTTATGAAAAGACTAATTTAGTTTAACGAACGTAATGTTTGCCAAAATGAGCGAGCGAAGCGACGATTCGCGTTGAATCGCGGGTGTAGTCATTTAATGACACGATTGCTAACGTTCAATTTCTGACAGCTGTCAAATAATAATGTATATTGCTTAAGAAATTATATTGTTCTTCCAAACAAAAAATCACCTTTATTTTTTGATTATTTTGAAATGTATTTATTAAATAATAAATCAATCGATTATTAATATTAATTTTTAACTTAAAATTTTGACAGCTATCATTTTTATAATTGACATATTTAAACATCTCTTTGCATTTTAGGTGAATTCATGACGATTTTTGAGCATTAAATAAAATGATTACCAAGGTCAAATTTTTGACAGCTGTCAAATAATATTGAATATTTCCGAGAAAGTTCTATTTTTCTTAATAACAATAAATCACATTCCCATTTCTTGATTATTTTGTAACGTATTTATTAAATAATAAACCAATCCATTCTAAACATCAATTTTTAGTTTAAAATTTTGACAGATGTCATTTTTATAATTGACGTATTTAAACATCTCTAAGTTTCGATGCATTTTAGGTGAATTCACGACGATTTTTGAGCATAGCCATTAAATAAAAGGATTACCAAGGTCAAATTTTTGACAGCTGTCAAATAATATTGAATATTTCCGAAGAAATTCTATTTTTCTCTCTAATAATAAATCACATTCTCATCTCTTGATTATTTTGTAACGTATTTATTTAATACTAAACCAATTGATTCTAAACATCAATTTTTAGTTTAAAATTTTGACAGCTGTCATTTTTATAATTGACATATTTAAACATCTCTTTAAGTTTCGTTGCATTTGAGATAAATTCACGACGATTTTTAAGCATAGCCATTAAATAAAAGGATTACCAAGGTCAAATTTTTGACAGCTGTCAAATAATACTGAATATTTCCGAGGAAGTTCTATTTTTCTTTCTAATAATAAATCACATTTTCATTTCTTGATTATTTTGTAACGTATTTATTAAATACTAAACCAATTGATTCTAAACATCAATTTTTAGTTTAAAATTTTGACAGCTGTTATTTTTATAATTGACATATTTAAACATCTCTTTAAGTTTCGATGCATTTTAGGTGAATTCACGGCGATTTTTGAGCATAGCCATTAAATAAAATGATTACCAAGGTCAAATTTTTGACAGCTGTCAAATAATATTGAATATTTCCGAGGAAATTCTATTTTCCTTTCTAATAATATATCACATTCCCGTTTTTTGATTAATAAGAAAATAATTCATTTTTAATATCAATTTCTAACCTCAAATTTTGACAGATGTCACTTTAATAATTGACATATTTAAATATTACCTTCAATTTTAATAAATTTAAAGCGAATTTTAGGCGATTCGAGAACTTGGCCACTCAATGAAGTGGAAATTAAATTTAAGTTTTTGACAGATGTCAAAAAATAATTGACATTTTTAATGAAATTTTAATTTCGTTTCAAACGATAATCATTTTCTTATTTTTTTACCATTTTTGAACGTATTTAACTAAATAGTAACTTAATTCATTTTTAATATCAATTTCTAANTTCTAAACATCAATTTTTAGTTTAAAATTTTGACAGCTGTTATTTTTATAATTGACATATTTAAACATCTCTTTAAGTTTCGATGCATTTTAGGTGAATTCACGACGATTTTTGAGCATAGCCATTAAATAAAAGGATTACCAAGGTCAAATTTTTGACAGCTGTCAAATAATATTGAATATTTCCGAGGAAATTCTATTTTCCTTTCTAATAATATATCACATTCCCATTTTTTGATTAATAACAAAATAATGAATTAATTTTTATTATCAAATTCTAACCTCAAATTTTGACAGATGTCACTTTAATAATTGACATATTTAAATATTACCTTCAATTTTAATAAATTTAAAGCGAATTTTAGGCGATTCGAGAACTTGGCCACTCAATGAAGTGGAAATTAAATTTAAGTTTTTGACAGATGTCAAAAAATAATTGACATTTTTAATGAAATTTTAATTTCGTTTCAAACGATAATCATTTTCTTATTTTTTTACCATTTTTGAACGTATTTAACTAAATAGTAACTTAATTCANGTTTCGATGCATTTTAGGTGAATTCACGGCGATTTTTGAGCATAGCCATTAAATAAAATGATTACCAAGGTCAAATTTTTGACAGCTGTCAAATAATATTGAATATTTCCGAGGAAATTCTATTTTCCTTTCTAATAATATATCACATTCCCGTTTTTTGATTAATAAGAAAATAATTCATTTTTAATATCAATTTCTAACCTCAAATTTTGACAGATGTCACTTTAATAATTGACATATTTAAATATTACCTTCAATTTTAATGAATTTAAAGCGAATTTTAGGCGATTCGAGAACTTGGCCACTCAATGAAGTGGAAATTAAATTTAAGTTTTTGACAGCTGTCAAAAAATAATTGGCATTTTTAATGAAATTTTAATTTCGTTTCAAACGATAATCATTTTCTTATTTTTTTACCATTTTTGAACGTATTTAACTAAATAGTAACTTAATTCATTTTTAATATCAATTTCTAACCTCAAATTTTGACAGATGTCATTTTAATAATTGACAAATTTAAATATCACCGTCAATTTTAATGAATTTAAAGCGAATTTTAGATAATTCGCGAACTTAGTTACTCAATGACGTGTATACCACGTTTAAATTTTTGACAGCTGTCAAAAAATAATTGACATTTTTAATGAAATTTTAATTTTGTTCCAAACTATAATCATTTTCTTATTTTTTAACCATTTTTGAACGTATTTAATTAAATAGTAACTTAATAAATTTTTAATATCAATTACCAACATCAAATTTTGACAGATGTCATTTTAATAATTGACAAATTTAAATATCACCTTCAATTTTAATAAATTTAAAGCGAATTTTAGACGATTCCCGATCTAAGTTACTCAAGGACGTGGATACCACATTTAAATTTTTGACAGCTGTCAAAAAATAATTGACATTTTTAATGAAATTTTAATTTTGTTCCAAACGACAATCATTTTCTTATTTTTTAACCATTTTTGAACGTATTTAACTAAATAGTAACTTAATTCATTTTTAATATCAATTTCTAACCTCAAATTTTGACAGATGTCATCTTAATAATTGACAAATTTAAATAATACCTTCAATTTTAATGAATTTAAAGCGAATTTTAGACGATTCGAGAACTTAGTTATTCAACGACGTAAATACCACGTTTAAATTTTTGACAGCTGTCAAAAAATAATTTACATTCTTAATGAAATTTTAATTTCGTGAATCAATTTCTTATTTTTTAACCATTTTTGAACGTATTCAACTAAATAGTAACTTAATTCATTTTTAATATCAATTTCTAACGTCAAATTTTGACAGATGTCATTTTAATAATTGACATATTTAAATATTACCTTCAATTTTAATGAATTTAAGGCGCATTTTAGACGATTTACGAACTTACTTACTCGATGACGTGGATATACTACGTTTAAATTTTTGACAGCTGCCAAAAAATAATTGACATTTTTAATGAAATTTTAATTTCGTTCAAAACGACAATCATTTTCTTATTTCTTAACCATTTTTGAACGTATTTAACTAAACAGTAACTTAATTAATTTTTAATATCAATTACCAACCTCAAATTTTGACAGATGTCACTTTAGTAATTAACAAATTTAAATTTTACTTTCAATTTTAATGAATTTAAAGCGAATTTTAGACGATTCCCGATCTTAGTTACTCAAGGACGTGGATACCACGTTTAAATTTTTGACAGCTGCCAAAAAATAATTGACATTTTTAATGAAATTTTAATTTTATTCCAAACGACAATCATTTTCTTATTTTTTAACCATTTTTGAACGTATTTAACTAAATAGTAATTTAATTCATTTTTAATATTAATTTCTAACCTCAAATTTTGACAGCTGTCATTTTAGTAATTGACAAATTTATATATTACTTTCAATTTTAATGAATTTAAAGCGAATTTTAGACGATTCCCGATCTTAGTTACTCAAGGACGTAGATACGTTTAAATTTTTGACAGCTGCCAAAAAATAATTGACATTTTTAATGAAATTTTAATTTCGTTCCAAACAACAATCATTTTTTTAACCATTTTTGAACGTATTCAACTAAATAGTAACTTAATTCATTTTTAATATCAATTTCTAACCTCAAATTTTGACAGATGTCATTTTAGTAATTGACAAATTTATATATTACTTTCAATTTTAATGAATTTAAAGCGAATTTTAGACGATTCGCAAACTTAGTTACTCAATGACGTGGATACCACGTTAAAATTTTTGACAGCTGCCAAAAAATAATTGACATTTTTAATGAAATTTTAATTTCGATAATCAATTTCTTATTTTTTAACCATTTTTGAACGTATTCAACTAAATAGTAACTTAATTAATTTTTAATATCAATTTCTGACCTCAAATTTTGACAGATGTCATTTTAATAATTGACATATTCAAATATTATCTTAAATTTTAATGAATTTGAAGCGAATTTTAGACGATTCCCGAACTTAGTTACTCAATGACGTGGATATCACATTTAAATTTTTGACAGCTGCCAAAAAATAATTGACATTTTTAATAAAATTTTAATTTCGTTCCATTTTTGAACGTATTCAACTAAATAGTAACTTAATTCTTTTTTAATATCAATTTCTAACCTCAAATTTTGACAGATGTCATTTTAATTGACAAATTTAAATATTACCTTCAATTTTAATGAATTTAAAGCGAATTTTAGACGATTAGTTACATAATAACTATTTAACTTATCAAAATAATTTCTTTTTTAGTTAATGGGAGCTGCTGTTTCGGCGAAAGCTCGCCTCCAAATCAACCTCGCAGTTTCCCAAGTAGTCGACATTAAGCAAGTTGCGAAATTTCCTTCCATCATATTTCCTATTATTTGGTTCGAGGAGGTAAGATGCAACAAAATCGATTTTATGGAAATATCCAATAATTTTCTTGTTTTAAATATTTAAAGGGAATCGATGGTTTGCCGGATAACGTAACGAATCTAATGAAATTGGCCTCGACCGTCCCACCAATAGCCAGGACCGTATTAACCGGGGTTTTGGTCGTAATCGGATTTTTGTTGTTAATGGTGGCAGTTTGGAGGTTAGTTCGAGGGGCGAATCGGCTCAGTTCGTTGCAATTAGCGACGGGGCACATCGGAAATGGGGCAAATTCGCCGTCGAAGCCCGACATCCCAATGAGTAACGTTAAACAATAAAGATTTTGTGATTCCAATTTTTTGTAAAAATTAAAAAAGATCTAAATTAATGACCAAAAAAAATTTTTTATTAAGACAAGATTAAATAAATAAGACTTAGACGATTATTTTTGCTCAGATACTTTTTTAAAAATTAAAATTATAGACAATTTTTAATTAATAATAATTAAAAAAATTAGGAATTAGAGATAAAATTGGGCCAGATATTTTTTTTTGGTGTATTTTTTTTAATTTTAAATTTATATTTTTTTTGTTAATTAGCTATTTACTTAGGTAAATTTTTTTCTTTAATTTGTATAAAAAAACTCCGTCCAAAAAAAAAAAAAGAAAAAAAGTTACCTCGTTTCATTATCCAAAAAAGAAGAAAAAATAATAAAAATAGGATTTGTATCGAATTGTGAGTTGTGGTTAATTGTATTATATTAGGATAATAAATTTTAAAAGACGATATCGTTTTTAATTAACTAATTCCTTTTAGTAAAAGGGTAATTAAAGAATTAATTTGAAAGAATATCCTGTTATTTATCAAAATGATGTAATAACTTGTTTTGCTAAAAACGTTTCATTTCTCAATGGATTTTGTTATTATTTTGACTACGTCTTAAATCCGTAAAAATCGTGCTCATTGAAAGAGAGGAAACTATTCTTTGTCTCTTAAAAGTGGAAAACAACCATTAGTATTCGTTTACAAGTCGATTTTAATCGACTGTGAAGGAAACATTTCAAAATATCAACAAATTTAATTAAAAATTATTATTCATTTTATTTATAAATGGTAATAAGATTCGCTAGACGGCGCTAGGTGTATATAATATTTAACGCTTCTGCGTAAATGATGAAATTGTTGTCATATGATTTTAATTTAATTTATTTTTCGCAAGAATATATGCAGGAATAAATCATCTGATAGAAAAACAATTCGTTTTGACCATAACATCGGAAAATCTAACTATTCAGAGTCAATTATCACTTGCTATTTTATTTTGTTATTGACGTTTTGGTTGCAATTTGAAGCCTAAGTATCGCAATTATAACAGCTCGGAAGCTCAGGATCATTTATGAAGAAGAAAAAATAAAGTGTTTTGGGAATCTGTCTGGCTCTAACGTAAATAAATCAGTTAATGGTTGGTCTACCGCACGTAATGTGAATAACCCTATACTGTGCCAATAATTACTGAAGATGGAAACGCATTTTTATTGAAGCAATAGATAGGTCAACTTCCGGTTAGGAATGTCAACGTCAATTTTGACATATTTGTAATCGTCATGAAAAATCCTTTAAAATGAGTCCAAACATGATACGTTTAATTCCAATATTTCTCGAGATATAAGCAACTTCCGGTTTGAAATGTCAATGTCATTTTGATATATTCTTAATTTTTTTAAAATGTGTTAAAATTTGTAACAAAAACGAAAATATAATTAAAAAAAATCAAAAATTAAGGTTGGTATTAATATTTAAAAATTAAATTGCTATGTTTATTGTTGCTAACTTCGGGTTTAACGTTTTTTATCCCAACTTTTTTGTTTTTTAAGATAAATGCATCATGTTTGGACTCATTTTAAAGGTTCTTTAATGGAAATGACAAATATGTCAAAATTGACGTTTAGATATAGTAGATTTGGTGTTCATCGTAAATTTTATTAAATAATTAAACTATGTTTAACGATGAGGCAATTTTATGAGTTTTTCAGTGCTACATATGTTTCGGAAATTTCTTTCCTTCTTCAGGCACGATTGAAAATTCCATGAAATTATCAGATTAATTTAACAAATTAACTAAAGAGCTCACCGTCGCACAGTGGTCCGAGCGGTAAGAAAACCCGATCGAAAATATTATTTTGGTGTTAGCAATTAGCTAGCTTTATGAAACTTGGCATATGATTATAAGACCAAAAGGGTAATGTTGTGTCAAAATTTGAATTAAATTCGTCAACCGGAAGTAGTACTACGCAAGCAGTACTTTATTTAAATTCATACTCATTTTCTTTTCATATAAATTAGGACTTTAAAGAAGAATATTACTATAAAATTTTGTGCAAAACATTAGACGTATATTACTTCACATTTTTTTGTGTAATTACGTGATCGCAAATTCCTATCGAAATTGTTTTATAGAGGACCTATACCGGGTGAATTTATGGTTTTTAACGGTGTAAAATGAAATTC